TAGCGATGGCCTCCAACCTAATGGCGATGGCCTCCAACCTACTAGCGATGGCCTCCAACCTAATAGCGATGGCCTCCAACCTACTAGCGCTGGCCTCCAACCTACTAGCGATGGCCTCAAAAACTACTAGCGATGGCCTGCATCCTACTAGGCACGGCACAGCCTAAGTCTACCTGCAGGCGCAGCCATAGCCAGCCACGGGACAATGCTTTAGCTCTGGCACTGGAGAGATCGCAGGCAAGCAACTTGCCTGGAGAGTCTTGACATGTTCTGACGCCTTTCAATTGCAAAACTCAATGCCTGAGCTGTTTGCAACAAAATAGCTAGCTAGGCTGTGCTGTCCGAATCCTGTGATGCTGAGACGCGGCTCAAGGTGCTGGTCTGTACCTTGGTAGTACTAAGTAGTGCAAACGTTAGATCTAGTTGGATCAGCAATGGGGAACGCCGTGTCCTCAATGGACCCAGAGGCACGGAAGAAGATGGAAGTGAGAACAGCCATCGCCATGAAACGTGCAGCACAGGCATGGGACTCCTGGGGGCACGCAGTCTTTCACTACAGCTTGGTGCCAGGCGTTTTTGCATATGGATTGTGGTACTCCGGCGAATTTACCATGAACCCTATCACTCTTTTCTCCAAGATCTTCTTGGCATGAGTGGAGCAAAGGGAAGCAGCGGAGAAGTTCGATGACACAGAAAGATGGGATGTGAATCCTCACAGAAAGATGGACGATGTGACAAGGCTGACGTTCAGACATCCTTTGGGCCATCATGGCCCGTGTGTAAGGCACGTCTCACACAGCAAGGTGGGCATTCACCCACGGCGAGCAGGAAAAAAGGACCTTTTCGCAACTGCAGAAGACCCGAAGGCAGAGGAAGACATGTAGGAAGACACATATAAGTTTGCCAAAAAAGATCTAGGAACCAAATCACTAGTGTCATTAGTGTGAACGTTTTTTCAAGGAAACTCCCCCGCCACCTTTGGGGGGCACACACTAGAAGCTAACTAGTTGCCCTATGTTGCCCTTACTTAGTTAAGTAGGAGCGGGACAAGAATAACACATATAAGACACCCATGATGTAACATGATGCCAAGCATGTCAGACGATGTCAGAGGGTAGAGATGGACGGAGCATGGAGAGCTGCAGGATCACATCGAGGCTCTCCAACGAGCTCGTGATGAAGCTTTGAGGAAAGCAGCAGAGCAAGAAGCCGAGGTCGGAGAAAAGTCTTGGCAGATTCTCACTTGGTAGCAGTTATATAGTCCAAAATGGAGCTGAGCAGCTTGTTTCGAGCTTGCTTCGTTCATTGCTTGCAACAGATCTTGCGCCTCACCATGCTGGTGGAAAGGTCCGAGGCGGAGTCAGAACTTTCTATACCATGACTCAATGACGGTGAAATGCCAACGACTCTGAGAAGCTCTAACACTCAACGCCAACACAACAGGGTGGAGGGACCTAAATGTGATTTTTCTAGGTTTTTCTTGGTTCGAGGCCGGGCACTGTGCCTTGATGGAAGAGAGACAGCGCCGAGCTGAGATGAGGACATTCCCCGAAACTCGTAGAGATGGCAAGCAACTTGAGATGTGACCTTGCAGAGAGGTCCTTGGAGGTCCGTAAAATTTGAAGCTAGGTCCAGGGTATTGCCAATATTGCCATCAATAGACTTCTATTCTACTGGACAAGATGGACAGAGCTAGATGAGCCAGGATGTTCCTGAATAGCCCTACTTCAATCTATTGCGTATTTCATGGGAGCAGTGATTTGCTGCTATAGAATATTGTGTCCAGCGCTTGTTGCTCACTTCGTCTTGGTTCAAGAAGAACACCTGCTCTTGATGCTCTGGATGATCAACCTACAAGGGCCAAAAGGATCAGGGCCAAAGTCGCCGAGAGGTCTTAGTGTGGAGCTTTCCGTTCAACGCTGAGGCGGGAGCTCTCCGATGTCCAACGCCTTCGACGCGAGCACCGCGAGGCCAAAGAGCAGCTGGTGGCCTTGCGTGCGGAGGCGAGACGGACAGGATGCACATCGATTCATAGTATATATATATTGTATATATTATGATATTTATATGTAATATAGTATATAATAGGTAACATATAATACTGTGTGCTGCACATCGAAGCACAGACCAAAACACCATAGAGAATCAACAAATTGGATTCAGATTGATGTGGCCATCTTTGTCCCAGGGGCCGCATGACATGGAACACCAACGTCCAACCTCTAGACCATTGATGGGCCCAAGTCATGTGGGTGTAGGAAGCTTTACTGGAGCATCATGTAGAAGTTGCTTGGCCAATGAAAAAGTGGAATATATTTTACTGTAGCTATCTTTAGTTGTTTTTTGTTCTTTCGAGGTCAATCAAACAAGGGCAAACGCAGATGAGAAGCGCCAGCGCTGGAACCTCGGAGCTCTGAGTTGACTGATTTGTTCCGAGCCCAAGTCTTTTACATGTTTCTTTGTTCCTCATTTTTTAAAGTAGACCTTATGTTTTGTCCATCTTTCCAGGTTTCGAGCGAATAATCTCGGAGCAACGAGAACAAATAGAAGCTTTGCAGGACAAGTTGGTTAGATCGATCGGAGACAGATTTTTTGGTTTTCACTGATTTCTTGTCATGTCTTCCCTCTCGCATGACTGCAGGAGGCAAACGGCCTCGCGGAGAAAGAATTGCAGGAGAAGTCCAATAACATCCGCCAGCAATTCCTCAAAACACATTTTCTTATACCTCAAATGCAATTCCAGCAATAATTATTCCATTATTCATCAAAACAACAAGATTCCAGGACCGGGGTTCGCAGTCTTCGGACGTGGAGACGGCATTATTCTCGTGCCTCGGAATTGAGGAGTATAACAATATTGCTTTATGCATACTTCTTTTTAAAACAAATAGATATTTGACGACTATTATGTAACTATATCACTAGTATCAATATTACTTCATGTACATATCTTTTTTTTCTTTTTAAATGAGATGTCAGAGGACCGATCGTTGGCTTGCTTGCAATGCTTCGTTGCTCCAGCAGGTGCCTTCAGGAACGAACTTCACTGCTCCAGTTCTTGGTGGATTTGCTCTCTGCCATGCTCCGAGCTTCTTCGAGCTCCAAGTCAACAGCGAAACATCTAAGTTCTCCTCGGACTATTCTTTCACATTTTTGACTGCTCCCTACTATCCGGCCAGCATTATGATTTGTTTTTTGAATGGACTCAATTTAGCTACCCGGACACCAGAGTTTGCGATCGGACATAGACATCACTTCATCCCTTACCCTTCCTCAGAAATGCGAGAATGCATTCTTCTAAGAATTATCAGTTTGACCGCTTCATCAAGGCCTTGCAGACCTTGTTCTACGACCCTACTCCTTTCACGCGCTTGCGCATGCGATCTCCTTCACCAACACCTGGCGGCGTCAATTGCCTGGTGCTTGGGAGTGCTTGTCACCAGAAATTTCTTTTATGTCTTTCCATGTTTCTGAGAACTGGGAAGCAGTGCTTCAAAATTATCCGCTGAGAACAAGACTTGCTTTGCCCCGTATAGTAGGTCTAAAGAGCCAAATGCTCAGGTGCTGGACGACGAAGGGCAGCATCCAGGGAAACCTTCCACAGGCCGGAGAATTCAGATGGGATTCAGAAGAAGTGATTGTCCCAATGGCAAGTGGAGACCATGGAGAGATGCGAATTTGCGCTTTTCTTGCAGCTTTCGCGAGAACATCTCAGGCACTCTGGATGCTTTGCATGTGCTTCAAGTGACTGGGTGCGACTTGTTTGAATTATGATCGTCCCGGAGTAGATAGAATATGAACCAATCAAAACACATGACCGCTTTCCTATTCTTTCTTAGATGTTCTATGATTTTCTCATATTCTATCTAGTCCAGGATGACTATACAATCGCACACTTTTTCTGGATGTTTTGGCATGTTTCTTGTGGCAGTTTGCAGTTTGC